TTATCCTAGCCCATAGAGTTGGAAGTTTTCGTACGGGGAAAATTTTCATTCTACTAGAAGGAAAATGTAATCACATCGTTGATGAAAGACCTCTAATTATTATTCATCCCTCAAGCTGTTCTAATTATTTTTTCTGGTCATGTACGAAGGGTCGCCTTAAGTTTCCACAACAGGCTATCTGCTTGGATGTACAATAAAAGCGGCAAATCCTTCAGTGAAAACTTCAGAGGGATTAGCTTAATCAACATTTTCTCCTAGCTTGCTGGCATATTTATACTCCGATTGCCTGCTGCACATGAATGGTGCTTGCGTGAAACTCAGACGGGTTTAATACCTGGTAGATCACATTTTCACCTAATTATGAAACGCAGACATTCTTTTCTGATATCCACCATTTCTCTCTTAATCTAAGAACAGTTTTCGACTCAATTCCATTTCGCCTGTTCGCCGAGCTTGGCAATTTGTTTGCAAACGTTTCATCACCAGCCGAGGTGACATCATCAGTGCNAAGCCAACAGGTGAAATGGAATTCAGTTCACCCGAGTCACGAAAACCGATGTTCAATATTTTGTCAATAGTTTTCTACTCAATTGGTACCGCGGTAATCTGGCACTACCTCTCTTTAGAAGATGTGACCGGGTACTTTATTTCTCGAATGCACTCTCTGTATATGAATAGCCGAATTGGCGCTGTTGCTCATAGCCTCGTTTTGCTCTGGTGTTTGTTAGGCTGCTTTCATTTTCTATACAATTTTGTAAGGAATTTGATCCGGAAAGTAGATCCGTCTTCATCAGACGACAACGACATCGACATGCTCTTAAATGCAAATTATCTGATCTGAAGTAAGTAAAGGACATTGCTGTACCAAGTTTGGGTTCAGGGCGGTCGCTAGCTTTTATAGATGATTTGGGCGTCAATGCAGTTATTTTCGTCTTCGTACATTCATATTGTGAGATTTCGCCATAGGACTGGGTTGCTCCATCTCTCAACTTTTTTCTAGGGAACTAGTAACAAATGAAAACCAGTCCTACTTTTTTGACAACCCCATCTCACTTGGCGATGCATCAAGTGTATTTTCGGCTTGCATGCGGAGGCCTCAGTTGGCGTTGACCACCGAGACGTCTATGACTCCGTCGCTACATGTGTCTATCTGAGAATGGGCGGATGTATGCTGCAGCAGTTCGGCCTACGCTACTGTAGAGCTCAGTGACTTATCAGTTAGAGTGAGGTTGGGTGTTGGACCAACCCAGTCTTGTAGTAACATTTTACACTTTAAAGGTGCAAAACGCATGCCAAACATGGCTACGCTGACACCCAAGCTATCCAGAAAAGCTTGCAATGTACATTTATCTTCACTTAGTTATACGATGTCGTCTGCATGCTCCATATCAGACATGTTTTGCGCGGCATATATTACGCATGTCGCGAAGTAGATTACTTAAGGTGCGTCGTGTTTTCGGAGGTCGGTAATAATTGAGAAAAGTACAGGGTGGTGAAATTCGCATCTGTCATGAAAGTATGAATATCCTGACTAAAGATACTTGCTCACATTGGCTGCGTTA